AGAAATAGAATAGAGTAAGATTTAAATAGAAGAATAGAATAAGATTTAAATAGAAGAGAAGCAATAAGAATAAAATAGAATAAGACTTAAATAGAAGAGTAGAATAGAATAGCAATAAGAATAGAATATTATACAGTAGAATAGCAATAAGAATTAGAATAGAATAGAATAAGATTTAAATAGAAGAATAGAATAAGATTTAAATAGAAGAATAGAACAGAAGAAGATTTAAATAGAAGAAGAGAAGGGAAGAGTAATAAGAATTGGAATAGAATAGAATAATAACTTTATTGTCACTTTGAATGTACACTAATCAGCATACATTAAAGCGAAATTTTGTTGCATACAGTTCTCAAAGGGTATATATACCTCCAATATATACTACATAAAGATGACTAAATAAATAAATAAATATAAATACAGATAAATACAGAATTCTGCATATAGCCACATATATTATGTGTCACATATTTCATTTGGGTGAAAATGCATTTTTATTTTTTTTTTGGCTCTGCTGGCACGATGGGATCTGATTAGACCAGATGTGAGCATCCAGAAGAGCCCAGATGTGGTCAAATCCGTTGCTTTCCAAAAGAAAAATTTTCTTTCCCCCCCCCCTCCATCCGCCCAAAAAGAAAAGAAATGGCCATTTTCCTCTCTTTAGGACAACGCTGGGCCATTTCGGATTTATTATTTAGACTGTGCGACTACTCTTTTATCTGTTTGTTTCTCTTCTATTTTAATTTTAATTTTATTTTATTTTATTTTATTTTGGGTCATCCCGGACTTCGGGGGGGAGATGGAAGAAAAGGAAGAAGAAGAAGGAAAAAAAAGAATTAAAAGAATGAATAAATATTTTTATTCTTAAAAAGATAGAATAAAAAATGATTTCAATGTTTGTTTAGAAAATTAAAAATGCTTAACGCATTGTAAACCGTCCTGAGTCTCCGGAGAAGGGTGGCATATAAATCAAATTTAAAAATAAATAAATAAAATAAAATGAAAAATGAAAAAAATAATAAAATATAATATAATAAAAAACAAAACAAAACAAAAATGAAACAACCGCATAAAATAACAAAAGAAAAAGAAAATAACAAAATAACAAAACAAAATGTAAAAAAATTAATAAAATAATAAAAGAAAACAATTGAAATAAGATAAAACAATCAAATAAAAGAAAGCATCAAATACGAATAAAATAAAATAAAATATAAAATAATAAAGTGAAAAAAATAAGAAAATATAATATAATTTAAAAAAGAAAATAACACAACACCACACAATCGAAAACGATATTGGCCTTAGGCTCCGCGTTCTCTCCTGCCCCTTAGTTGCTCCCTTCTCAGGTGAAGGACCCTGGCAGCAAAAGACCCCCCCCACGCGCCCCTCCCTGTCTCCCCTCTTTCTCACCCCTCCCCACGCCCGCCCTCCATTGCAGAGGCTCCTTTTTGAGGCTGGGGGGGGGCTGTCCCCACTGCCTGTCTCTTCCTCTGCCCAGCCTCGCATTGGGGGGGGGGGCTTTGTTAATCAGTTTCACCCCGTTGATGTTTGCCCCCCTCGGTGGGGGAGCCGCAGGAGAGGTCAGCCCAAAAACAAAAAACCCAGAGCTGGATCTGAGCCAAGGAGTCTGGGGGGGGATTTGGGGAGGGGGGGACAGGATTAATCCCGTTAATGTTTTCTCGCTGAATGCAAACACAGAAAGAAGCTGGGAGGAATTTGAATTGTGGTCCTCAGCAGATTCTCTTCTGGGGTTTAAATAAAACTGGGCCGGATTGCTCATTTTGGGGAGCGGGGGGCTTGCAGACGGCTTCTCGCCCCCTCCCCACAACCCCCCCCCACATGTCGAAAATTCATCACTCCCGCTTCCAAACCTTGCTGAGGTTTTGCTGATCGGCCCAGCCTTTTCGTGGACCCCACAGATAGTCCTTGACTAACAAACGTTCATTTAGGGACCGTTCAAAGTTACGACGGCACTCAGAAAAAGGGACTTCTGTCCATTTTTCACACTTACGTCCGGCGCAGCATCCAAGGGAGGAGGAGGAGGAGGAGGAGGCAGACTGTGGGGTCCATGGTGCTGTCTGAGTTTGGGTGGTTTTCTTGCAGACGTTTTATGACCCAACTAGGTAACATCATCAGTGCTAGAAGAGAGTGGGGTTTGCAGAGAGGAGGAGGAGGAAAATATGGAGAGAAATGCTTAAAATAAAGGGAACAAAGGCCTCGGCCCAAAAAAAAAAAAAAAGCTAGGAATCCAAGCAGAAAAAAGGAAGCTCTTGAAGACTGAGGACTAGGAACTTGAAACGTGTGTTCTGCCACTTTCAGCAGTCACCCTAAAATGGAGAGGAAATTCTTCCACATGTAGTCCTTCGGCTTGTAACCAGTTGCTTAGCAACAGTTCAAAGTTCAGATGGACTCCCCCCTCCCCACCCCTACCCCAGGGACGTACAACTCCGATTTGAAGTTTGGATGTCACCTTTCACCCCTGTGGTCACATGACTACATTTTGAGGGTTCTGTAACTGGCCCGCAGTCATATGACCACAATTTACGACGCGCGTTTACTTCCAGTTCTGGTGAAAACTGACCCGTAACAAACAATGGATTTGCTTTACGACTGAATGCAAAAAAAGGTATAAAAAGGAATCCAGTTATGTGCTGACTCACTTTGCGACCATAGTTGCCAGACTCCATGATGGCCATAACTTGAGGACTGTTTGCAAGGTGTTTACAGCACTCTACCCTCTGCGCTCTTCTCTCTCTCGCTATCTCGCTTTCTCTCTGTTTCTGTCTCCTCTTATCTTTATTTCTCTATCTCTCTCTGTCTCTGTCTCTCTCCCCCTCTTTCTCCTCTCCCTTTCTCTCTTCTTTCTCTCTCTTATTTCTCTTTTCTCTCCCTGCCTATCTCTCTCTGTCTCTCTTCTCTCTCTCTTCTTTCTGTCTCTCTTCTCTGTGTGTCTCTTCTCTCTGTCTCTCTCCCCCTCCTTTCTCTCTCTCCCTCTTTCTGCTCTCTCTTCTCTCTCTCTCTTCTTTCTGCTCTGTGTCTCTCTTTACTCTCTCTCTCTCTCCTCCTTTCTCTCTCTCTCCCTCTTTCTGCTCTCTGTCTCTTTTTTTCTCTCTCTCTTCCCACTGTCTCTCTCCCTCCTTTCTCTCTCTCCCTCTTTCTGCTCTGTCTCTCTCTTTTTTCTCTCTCTCTTCCCACTGTCTCTCTCCCTCCTTTCTGTCTCTCCCTCTTTCTGCTCTCTGTCTCTCTTCTTTCTCTCTCCCCCTCTTTCTCTCTGTCTCTCTTTTTTCTCTCTCTCTTCCCACTGTCTCTCTCCCTCCTTTCTGTCTCTCCCTCTTTCTGCTCTCTGTCTCTCTTCTTTCTCTCTCTCACTGTCTCTCTCCCCCTTCTTTCTCTCTCCCTCTTTTTGCTCTCTCTGTCTCTCGCTTTTCTCTCTCCTCTCTCTCCCCCTCCTTTCTCTCTCTCCCTCTTTCTGCTCTCTCTTCTCTCTCTCTCTTCTTTCTGCTCTGTGTCTCTCTTTACTCTCTCTCTCTCCTCCTTTCTCTCTCTCTCCCTCTTTCTGCTCTCTGTCTCTCTCTTTTTTCTCTCTCTCTTCCCACTGTCTCTCTCCCCTCCTTTCTCTCTCTCCCTCTTTCTCTCTGTCTCTCTCTTTTTTCTCTCTCTCTTCCCACTGTCTCTCTCCCCTCCTTTCTGTCTCTCCCTCTTTCTCTCTGTCTCTCTCTTTTTTCTCTCTCTCTTCCCACTGTCTCTCTCCCCTCCTTTCTGTCTCTCCCTCTTTCTGCTCTCTGTCTCTCTTCTTTCTCTCTCTCCTCACTGTCTCTCTCCCCCTTCTTTCTCTCTCCCTCTTTTTGCTCTCTCTGTCTCTCGCTTTTCTCTCTCCTCTCTCTCCCCCTCCTTTCTCTCTCTCCCTCTTTCTGCTCTCTCTTCTCTCTCTCTCTTCTTTCTGCTCTGTGTCTCTCTTTACTCTCTCTCTCTCCTCCTTTCTCTCTCTCTCCCTCTTTCTGCTCTCTGTCTCTCTCTTTTTTCTCTCTCTCTTCCCACTGTCTCTCTCCCCTCCTTTCTCTCTCTCCCTCTTTCTGTGCGCTCTCTCTTTCTCTCTCTTCTCTGTCTCTCGCTCCCCTCCTTTCTCTCTCCCTCTTTCTGCTCTGTCTCTCTCTTTTTTCTCTCTCTCTTCCCACTGTCTCTCTCCCCTCCTTTCTGTCTCTCCCTCTTTCTGCTCTGTCTCTCTTCTTTCTCTCTCCCCTCCTTTCTCTCTCCCCCTCTTTCTCTCTGTCTCTCTTTTTTCTCTCTCTCTTCCCACTGTCTCTCTCCCCTCCTTTCTGTCTCTCCCTCTTTCTGCTCTGTCTCTCTCTTTTTTCTCTCTCTCTTCCCACTGTCTCTCTCCCCTCCTTTCTGTCTCTCCCTCTTTCTCTCTGTCTCTCTCTTTTTTCTCTCTCTCTTCCCACTGTCTCTCTCCCCTCCTTTCTGTCTCTCCCTCTTTCTGCTCTCTGTCTCTCTTCTTTCTCTCTCCTCACTGTCTCTCTCCCCTCCTTTCTGTCTCTCCCTCTTTCTCTCTGTCTCTCTCTTTTTTCTTTCTCTCTTCCCACTGTCTCTCTCCCCTCCTTTCTGTCTCTCCCTCTTTCTGCTCTGTCTCTCTTCTTTCTCTCTCTCCTCACTGTCTCTCTCCCCTCCTTTCTCTCTCCTTCTTTCTGTGCGCTCTCTCTCTTTTCTCTCTGTCTCTCTCTCCCCTCCTTTCTCTCTCTCCCTCTTTCTCTCTGTCTCTCTTTTTTCTCTCTTTCTTCCCACTGTCTCTCTCCCCTCCTTTCTCTCTCTTCTTTCTCTCTCTTCTCTCTCTCTGTCTCTCTTCTGTCTTCGCTCTGTCTCTTTCTCTATCCTCTCTTCTTTTTCTCTCTCTGTTTCTCTCTCTCTCTTCTCTCTGCCTCTCTCTTCCTCCTTTTTCTGTCTGTAACCCCCTTTGGGAACGTGATCCTCATTCCTCCTTCTGTTTTGCCGTGTTTCAGATTCCGACGACGATGGAGAATCCGAAGCGGCCAAGCAGCTGATCCAGCCGATCGCCGAGAAGATCATAGCCCAATACAAAGCCAAAGATGAAGAGACCCCACTGCTGTTTTTCGTGGCCGGAGAGGTATGGGGCAGAAGGGAGCCGGGAAGGGAAAAACTAGCAGACATTCGTGGTTTACGGGCAGCTGTGCTTCCTACAGGCGATTAGATCCATCGGGCCTGCCTTAGCCCCGTTTTCACAACCTGGGAAGCCTCAGCAGCAGCCTCGTTACAGGTGGTCGTCGCCTTACGACCACAATCGAACCCAAAATTTCCATCGCTAAATGAAACATTTGTTCAGTGAGTTGGATGACCTTTCTCGCCATCGTTGTGAAGTGAATCCATTCTGTTGTTAAGCGAGCTACACGGTTGTTAAGTGAATCCGACTTTCCCCCCCGTTGACTTTGCTCGTCAGAAGGTCGCAAAAAGGGGAGAGAGGAGATCGCGTGACTTTGGGACATGGCAACCGTCATAAGTACATGCCAGTTGCCGAGCCTCCGAATTTTGATTCCCCTGGCCATGGGGATGTTGCAACAGCCGTAGGGGGTGAAAAACGGGTCATAAGTCACTTTTTTCAGTGCCGTCGTCACTTCAAACGGCCACTAAGTGAAGTGTCGCAAGTCGAGGATTTCTTGAAGAGCGGGATCTCATCTACATTTGACTGTCCGGCTGAGGTCCTTGCTTTTCTCTATTCTGTTGCTTCCAATTTTAGTCAAGCAAGGGCACCTTAGCGCATCAGCCCTTCCCACCCTCCCCGGGACCACCAACCCCATCTCCCACCCCTCTGTCCTTCTCCCCTCACCCCTTGTCTCCCACCCACTCTGCCTTGCACGCCTGCTCCGGAGATCGCTGAATGTGTCCGTTGTCGGCCCGATGAACCCTAAAACAAAAGACCCTCTGCGCCCCCCCTTGCCACCCCCTCCCCGCAGCCCCCAATCCCCACGCCCCTATCCCTCCTCCGACCCCACTCTGTGGCCGGGGTTGCCCCCAACCACACAACAACTTCATTCATTCGCCCTGCCATCTGCTCGCCAGCTCGGCTGACAGCTCTCTGAATGACCCATTCATCGGACGCCACGCTTCTCCCGTTCGCGACGGCCCTGCGAGGGGAAGGGGGCTGCGGCGGGGTGGGTGGGTGGGTCACAAGGAAGAGGCCAACTGTGGGGATAGATTGGGGGGCAGGGAAGGCTGACTCTTCTACAACCCCCCCTTCCCTGGTTAGTCTTTGCAGAGAGGGTCTCGACACGGAGAAACAAGGCAGCCGCAAAAATTTCGGAGCAGGGAAAAGCACCTGTTTCCTAGGAAAACCAAATACACACACACACACAGTCTTAGGAACCAACACAATGACCCTACAAGAGAGTGTGGGGCAGGGAAATCCCTCGGGGTTGGGGGAGAATTTACAACAAATTCCAGGTTTTTTTTTTTCCCTCCTAACCGAAGGAGGATGGAAAGGATCACGGCACTGAATTCTGGATTTTGTCACCCGTTCAACTTAAAGGTGCATCGTTTTGGGTCTCCGGGCTGGGGTCTCGGGTGCCTTGCGGGGAAGGGTGAGGTGGAGAGAACAATAACGGCAGGCCAGTTTCAGACAGACACACGTGTCTTCGACAACAGCCCTGCCCCCCCCCCCCTCGTGGTCTTCGGCATTCAGGAGTTACACACACATCCGCCATTTTGCGGAGGGGCAGGGAAGCAAGATGGACGCAGGGAAGCAGGTGGGCGGGTGGGCCGCGGCAGGTCCAGGAAGAACCACACAAAGCCGGGAGAGATAATAAATTCGGCCATAAATTCTATCCAGCAAGCCTTTTTTTTTCTTTTTTTTTGCAATTGGGGGGGAGTCTCCGGAAAAAAAAACAAAAAAAGCAGCCGCAGAATGAAGCCAGTTCCCGGGGCGAGATTTATTTTTGCTGACTTAAATATAATTCTGGTCTGTCTTTTTTTCGCGGGGGGAAAAAAAAGAAAAGAAAAACTGACTGCGGAGAGCAGTTGCCACCAGAAAGCAAATTATGGATGCTATTTAACAAGGAAGAGGCGGGGTCCAAAATATTTAAACATTTGCTGGCGGTCCGAAGATGAAAAAAACGTCAAGGCAAAGAAATGCCTCTGAAGGGCTTTTCCTCAGTTTTGGCACTTATAGGGCATGGCAAAATTGGGATAATAAAAAGGTATTCCAGGGACATGGGGTGGGAGGGGTGAGAAAAAGGGCCCCCTCCTTGGCGGATGCCAACCTGCCAAGGAGAGGATATTGTGACCAACCTTAAAGCAAGCAGGAAAGGATGAAGGTAGAGACGTACCTCTCAAGGGTGTTGTATAATGTGGGAAGAGGACCGCACAGTATACATAGCAGATTCTGGATCAGTGTTTCTCAGCCTTGGCCAGTTTAAGATTTCTGGACTGCAACTCCCAGAATTCCCTAGCCAGCATGCTTTAAGATGGATGGACTTCAACTCCCAGAATTCCCCAGCCAGCATGCTTTAAGAGGGGTGGACTTCATCTCCCAGAATTCCCCAGCCACCATGCTTTAAAATGGATGGACTTCAACTCCCAGAGTTCCCTAGCCAGCCTGCTTTAAGATGGGTGGACTTCAACTCCCAGAATTCCCTAGCCAGCATGCTTTAAGATGGGTGGACTCCAACTCCCAGAGTTCCCTAGCCATCATGCTTTAAGATGGATGGACTTCAACTCCCAGAGTTCCCTAGCCAGCCTGCTTTAAGATGGGTGGACTTCAACTCCCAGAATTCCCTAGCCAGCAATGTTTTAAGAGGGGTGGACTTCAACTCCCAGAATCCCCCAGCCATCATGCTTGAATATGGGTGGACTTCAACTCCCAGAACTCCCCAGTTAGCTTGCTGGCTGGGGAATTCTGGGAGCTCCACCCATCTTAAATTTGCCAGGCGTGACAAACACTGCTCTAAAGAGAATTATGCAATTTGGCTCAGTCACTCTTCGTACAACTAAATTCTAATTCCGAAATTTGTAATTTGTGGGATAAAACTGAGAGGAATGGAAGGTGCTATTAAAGAAGGCAAAAATTTAGAAGTACAAAAAAAAAAAAAAGGATTTAATTGAACGCCCCAAAAATGTACAAAATATTGTTTCCTCAAGCCTTCGAGAAGCAAACAGGAGACCTGAAATAAAACAGGCAGAAGAAGGCTTGAAATCCCCCCCCCCCCGAAAGATATTAAAGCAAAGAATTTCAGCTTCGAATAAATCGGATATTGAGAAATGCTTACAAGCAGGAAAATCCAGAATTAAGGAAGCCTAGAATGTGGTTAGGAGAGACTGCCCTCGTGGCTGGAGATGATGCAATTTAATCCCGGGGTTTTGATACCGCAAGGAAATTTTCAGCCTTAGGAAATCTGAGGAAATCTCTTGGCCTGTTTTGACGGCGGATGTCTTCAACCCATCGTCCTCTGCCTGCGTGGAATTTTTGGCCGTTCAAATCAGCACCGTAACCTCATCCGGAGAGGGGGCTGTCCTCCAAAATGCAGTGAACAAATTAAATTGGGGATTGTAAGGGTGTAAAGCAGATTCTGTCGAACTGGTAGCGGAAATTTTGAGCAGTTCGGAGAACCGGCAGATACCACCTCTGTCTGGCCCCAGAGTGGGGTGGGAATGGAGATTTTGCAATATCCTTCCCTCAGGAGTGGGGAGGGAATGGGGTTTTTGCAGTATCCTTCCCCTGCCACGCCCACCAAGCCATACCACGCCCACCAAGCCACGCCCACAGAACCGGTAGTGAAAAAAAAAAGGGATTTCACCACTGATCTCTCTCTCTCTCTCTCTCTCTCTCTCTCTCTCCTCTCCCTCTCCCTCTCTCCCTCTCCCTCTCTCCCTCCCTCCCTCCCTGATAGATGATACATAGGTATATATATAAATAGAGATAAGAAGTGGTGGGATTCAGCCAGTTCGCACCTGTTCGGGAGAACCGGTTGTTGGAAGAAATCTTATTTTGTTTTTTTCCACTTTACAGGGCTAATCCTGTAAGGAACTGAAACATTCTGGTGTTGTTTCTAGCCTAATCTTTATTGCCCTGCTTACAGAAACTGCCTCTCTGGTTAACCCTTATTACATTGTAACAGCTAAGGCGAAGCGCCCATCGACGTGAGTGACGTTGAATTGGCCATGCCCATACAGTCACACGACCACCGAGCCACGCCTACCTAGCTGGTCATTAGGGCAGAGAACCGGTTGTTAAATTATTTGAATCCCACCACTGGAGATAAGATAGATGATGGAAGGTAGGTAGGTAGGTAGGTTGGTACCGTACGATCGATAGAGATAGATGAGAGAGAGAGAGAGAGAATATTAAAGTTTTATCTCCTGTTCAAATCCTCGAGATTTCCACAGACTTGTAGAAAAAAATAAACTAGATTTGGGGTAGAAAAATACATCTGAAGTTACAAATAGTCCTCAACTTATGACTGCAGTGGAGCCCAAAATTCCTGTTCCTAAGCAAGACAGTTGTTAAGTGAGTTTTGCCTCATTTTGCGAACTTTCTTGCCACAATTTGTTAAGTGAAACACCGCCGTTGTTAAGTTAGGACAGGGGTCGGCAACCTTAAATACTCAAAGAGTCACAAAGGTCCTAACCGGAAGCCCCATTCAATTCTGGGACCAATCAGAAGTCTAGTTCCCCCACCATAGAGTCTCCTCCTAGCGTGGCGTCCTTTTTCCTCTACCTGTCCTAACCAAAAGCCCTATCAATTGCGGAGTCAATTGGTGACAGGGAGCCGCAGCAGAGGGATGGAAGAGCCACATGCGGCTCCAGAGCCGCAGGTTGCTGACCCCTGAGTTAGGAAGACGGCTGTTAAAATGAACCTGGCTTCCTCACTGACTTTTTGCTGGTTGCAAAACAGGATCCCATGACCCTGGGACACTGCAACCGTCATAAATATGAACCCGTTGTCAAGCCGCCAAAAGTAGATCACGTGACCACGAGGAGGCTGCAACGGTCGTAAGTGTGAAAAACGCTCACAGGTCAATCTTTCAGTGCCGTTGTAACTCCTCAACGATCACTAAATGAATGTGAAGGACTCCCCTACAGGTAGTTCTCGACTTACGAACAGTTTCCTTAGTGACTGTTAAAAGTTACGACGGCAACGGAAAAATGTGACTCATGGCCGTTTTTCACACTTAACGACCTCTGCAGCGTCCCCATAGTGATTTACGTTCGGATGCTTGGCAACATGACTCACATTTACAACCGTCGCTGTGTCCAGGAGATCACGTGATCCCTTTTCCAGATTCCCCAAGCCAGATTCATTTAACAACCGTGTGATGTCACCAGACACCGGGGTCGTATTATCATATGTGGTGGTATTCTGCTCCAGCTACGGACCACAAAGAACGCAGCACACACAAGTCTGTACAAACCTTAGTTTACTAATTAAGGACTACTAATGAGCTTTCTTAGTAGTTGTTCAAAAACACAAGTACAGTTTAAATCAGTCTTTTCTGAACAAGGGCAATTAATTTAACTTCCTTAACAGCCGACAAGAATCCAAAGAAGAATAATTCAATTCTGAGGCACAGTATTTCAGATAACCGTAATCTTACTGTGGTTGGCAGAATGCCCAGAAGCAATTTGCAGGAACACTGACAAGAGAGAAACGAGAGCCAAATCCAACGTTTCTGGAATCAAGACACGAAGGAATATGAACGAAGTTGTTCCCTGCAAAATTGCTTCAGTCGGTGTTCCTCCTTAAATAGGCTAAGGGAGTGGCCAATTAGCCCCAAGCCTTACTCTCGAGGAGACCTCCTCCTGAGGAGCCACTCCTGCCTTTTGGCAGCTCTGCGCGCCTGTGCATCGAGAAGAGGCTCCTCCTCTTCGTCTTCCTCACTTAAAGGAGCTTCTGGAGGTTCTGGAGGCCCTGGCTGAATCCCTGCCTCTGGCACCATATCTTCTCCAGCCTCCTCACTGTCTGACTCAGGTGCCAGCTGCACAGGCTGCTGGCGAATCACCACACCAGCCTCCTCGCTGTCGGAATCAGCTACCAGCTGCACAGGCTGCTGGCGGGCCACAACAGGTGGACATGTATAGAACCAAAAAGATATTGGGCAAAAATTTGTATGTGGTTGGAGAATATGACACAACAACATATTGATTTAAAACCTGAATTATTCCTGTTGGGGATTTTACCAGAATGTTATAGTAAAGGAAATGTATATTTGATTATTCATGTAACAACTGCAGCTAGTATTGTATTTCCTCAAAATTGGAAAAGCGAAGAGATTCCTACGAATAGAAATGTGATTAAGAAAATATTAGAATGTGCAGAAATGAATAGATTAACACTTGCAATTAAAGGAAAGGAAGAATCTGACTTTTATAATATATGGGAGTTATTTTATCAATGGTGAGAGAACAAATATGAAAGCAATATATTACAAAATTAAATAAGTTAAGAAGAGAAATGTTATGGTAATAGGTATGTTAAGTATTAGCATTAATATAAGAACAGATATAAATAATGAATATGGTGGTACAGTTTTAACTGTTAAAATTGTACTCAGACAGACTGTTTAATGAAAGTTGAAATGTTTGTATTAAAAGAAAATAAAACTTTAATAATAATTTAAAAAAAGAACAGCAGTGACTCACTTAACAACTGTGGCAAGAAAAGTTGCAAAGTGGGGCAAGACTCACTTCACAAATGTCTCACTTACCAACAGAAATTTGGGCTCCGTTGCCGTCGTAAGCGGAGGACAGCCGCGAGCGATAAATGTTTGACCCTGGCATTAATGCCCAAACCAATTTTAATGACATTTATTCTCTTTTTTTCTTGTTTTTTTTCCAAATCCAGGATGACATGACCGACTCTCTTCGGGATTACACCAACTTGCCCGAAGCTGCCCCTCTCCTCACCATCTTGGACATGTCAGCCCGTGCTAAATACGTCATGGATGTCGAAGAGATCACGCCACCGATTGTGGAAACTTTCGTGAATGACTTTTTGGCTGATAAACTGAAACCTGAGCCTATCTAAAGCCGAAGCTGGGGCAAGGGAGTGGGAGGGGGGTCTTTTCTCACCCCTTTCCCCATCTCTTAGACGCTATTTAAAAATGGCCGGATCGGTCCAACACCAGCCCTTCGGTGCGGGCCGGCCATAATTTCCTCGTGGTGCCTTGTTTTAAACCCCAGAATAATATCTCTGTCCAAACACTTTCCAGGTGCTTTTTTTGCAAGCAACGGGGTTGGGTGGGGTAGGGGTCTCCGGGGAGGGGGAAGATTTGGCTTTGGGCGGGGGGGGGACGGTGAGGGGAAAACGGACAGGGGTACCCAGAGGCAATCCAGAAAGGGCAAGCAGAAGACAATTTTTAAAAACTCCTCGTAGCCAGTGGTTTTCATAACGGATGGATTTCAAAAGTGACGCTCCGAGCCTGGGGTAAATTTGGCAATTCTATCCCGCTTCCGGAGAATATAACTAGCAAACTAAACGGTTCAAGAAGATGTTAGCACTCTATCCGTATTGCTGTGTTTCTCAACCATAGCGGCTTGAAGTCCACCCATCGTAAAGCAGGCTGCCTGGGGAATTCTGGGAGTGGAAGTCCACCCATCTTAAAGCATTCTGGCTGGGGAATTCTGGGAATTGGAGTCCATTCATTTTAAAACATGATGGCTGGGGAATTCTGGGAGTGGAAGTCCACTCATCCTCAAGTCCCCACGGTTGAGAAACCCTGCAGCTTATTGCAAAATGTAGTCTTTCGATTTGTGGGGTGGGGGCAGGAAAAGTATTTTAAGGGGTGCCGATTCATGGAATCGATGGATTGGGTTCCCCCAGGATGCTAAACCCTGGTTCGCTGAACCCGGTCTCCGAGCTTTGCTCGAGATATAATCCAAAACTGACCCCAGAGCCTGGATTCACAGACGGTAAAGGAGGTTACTGGGCTAGTGGGCAAGGGTGAAATTTAGCAGGTTCTGTCGAACCGGGAGCGGAAATTTTGAGTAGTTCGGAGAACCGGCAAAGACCACCTCTGGCTGGCCCCCGAGTGGGGTGGGAATGGGGATTTTGCAATATCCTTCCCCCAGGAGTGAGGTGGGAATGGAGATTTTGCAGTATCCTTCCCCTGCCACACCCACCAAGCCACGCTACGCCCACCAAGCCACGTCCACAGAACCGGTAGTAAAAAAAAAAAAATCGGATTTCACCACTGGTAGTGGGTCTGTGTTTCTTGTGAAGGCATCCTGGAGATGAGGGGACAGCTAGAATCCTTTAGTCGAAAGTGAAATGGGGAGAAGTTGGTCTTGTGTACGCTTTAGCTATGAGAGATGACCAGATTGTGTAATGGTAACATTTGCACAAGGAGACACGGGATGTGTCGTCGTGCCTTGCACCAAAGTCGGAGATTTTTAAGATGAGCAGTGGTGCAATTTTGGAAGGTGATCGACCTGACTTTGCCAGGGGGCGCCGTGCCTATTTCAATCGTGCCATTTCTCAAAGCTACGCCAAAAAGGTTTCTAACTTTTAAGTTCATAGCTGGGATGGATTCAGAAGTGACGCTCCCAAGCCGGGAACAATTTTGGTGTTCCTGCCTCTTCCTCTTTTCCCCAACCTCCTCCTCCCCATTTTTTTACGGGAAAAATAAAACCCTTCGTTTATTTCGCCAAGCATAGAAAGGTTGAAGCAGCGAGACAAACAATGCAAATTGCGGTAATTGTATCGTTCGCACAAGGAGGCAGGGGTTGTCGTCGTGCCGTGCCACCAAATGCCCCCGTGGGAAATTTAAAATGAGCTGCGGTGGATTTCTGGCAGGTGGTCAACCTGACTTTACAGGGGCTGTGCTAATTTCCATCGTGCCATTTATCAAAACTACGCCAAAAGGTTTCTAACTAGACAGAGACTCTGCCTATTTCCATCGTGCTATTTATTAAAACTACGCCAAAAGGTTTCTAACAACGATAAACTTAATTATTTCGGTGACTTTCCTGAAATTGGGCCCACCCGTTCCCCCCACACACACACACACTCATGGGGCAAACCCCAGATATTTTGTTGAATGTCGCAGTCTTAACCACCCTAAGCCATTAATTGTAATAACTATAGCAATTAATTAAAATCAGCCTCTTTTTTTTTTAAAGCCACAAGGTGCTATGGAACATTCCAACTGCTAAGGATTCTGGGATCTGTAGTCCCAATGCACACAGAGAGCAAGTGGGGCAAGTGGGGGCGGGAAAAAAAACACCACTCGGAAAATAACATCCAGGACGATTTTTTAGATTATTTCTCCCTCTTCTTTTAATCCAAATGTCTCTTCTTTTTGCCTCTGTTCCCCATCTTGGTAGAACAGTTGTATTGTAGATAAAAATTCTACCGCAGATTTCTGCTGATTTTTGATTTGGGGAAATTGGAATTAACGCATTGTCTTCTCCTCTTCTGGCTAAGTGGAAGTTGTAAAAACTGTACATGGTGATTGGATCTTTGTAATAAAAACGGTTCTAATAAATTTCACAATACGCTGTAATTTGCTTCAGAGATACCGCCATTGCGGCCTTCTTCATTTTTTTGTCACAAATCCCATTTTAAAGATGATTCAAGAACTTGCTTTCCAAAACAGAACTGCGGGTATGGTAGTCCTCGACTTACGACCACAACTGAGCCCAAAATTTCTGTTGCTGAGCGAGATGGTTGGTTGAGTTTTGCCCCGTTTGGTCATAAGTCACTTTTTGTCAGTGCCGCTGCAACTCCGAACGGGCCCTAAACGAATGGTAAGAAGTACCTGTATTCATTTAAACCAGTATATTAGACATCTTAAACATCTTAACAGCCTACAAGAAGAATAAATAATTGTAATCTTACTATGGTTGGCAGAAAGCCCAGAAGCAATTTGCAGGAAACTGATAAGAGAACTAAGATCAGGACACGAAGGAGAGTGAACGAAGTTGTTCCCTGCAAATTGCCTCAGTCGTCGTCCTTCCTTAAATAGGCTAAGGGAGTGGCCAATTAGCCCCAAGCCTTACTCTCGAGGAGACCTCCTCCTGAGGAGCCACTCCTGCCTTTTGGCAGCTCTGCGTACCCGTGCATTGAGAAGAGGCTCCTCCTTTTCTTCCTCTTCACTTATGGGAGCTTCTGGAGGTTCTGAAGGCCCTGGCTGAATTCCCGCCTCTGGCACCACATCTTCTCCAGCCTCCTCATTGTCCAACTCAAGTGGAAGCTGCACCGGCTGCTGGCGCAGCACCACACCAGCCTCCTCGCTGTCGGAGCCACAACAGAGATGGATGGATGCATGCTTTGTTAGTTAGTATTCTATAACACCACAAAGTCTTGTTTGTCTGTAACCTTGGGACCATATCTCGCCAGATTAGACAGACAGACGATAGACAGAAAGACAGAGATAGAGATAATAAATATAGAGATGGATAGATGACAGATTAGAGATTGATAGACGATAAGATAGAAAATGATATGGCTAGATGATGGATACATACCCTGTTTCTCCCAAAATAAGGCCTTCCTGGATAATAAGCCCAATCGGGCTTTTGAGCGCATGTGCTAAAATAAGCCCTCCCTGAAAATATTTAACCGCATGCACAGCTGTTTCCCGCCATTTCCTCAGGTTGATCGCCACACAAACAACATGAGGTGAGGCTGGAGGGGAGGGAGGGGGAAAATGCCCCACCTACCCCACACGCCCTTTCCTAACGGCCGCTCCCGCAACCTTAGCCACCGCACCCCTTCTGTCACGCTAATGGCCACTGCAAAAGCCATTAGCAAAGAACAGGGAGGTGGCGATGGGACATCCGGTCGCAGCGGTTAGCCAGGGCGAACAGCTGATGAGTGGCTGTGTCGGCAGCAGTCATGAGGTGACTGCTCATCGCCTCCTGCACCTCAAAAATAAGACCTCCCCAAAAATAAGGCCAAGTGCTTATTTTGGGGGTCAAAAGAAAATAAGACCCTGTCTTATTTTCGGGGAAACACGGTCGATGAAAGATTAGATACAGAGAGATAGATAAAATAGATAATAGGTAGATTATGGATAGATAAATATCTATGGATATTTATCTATGGATAGATAAATATCTATCCATAATCTATACTAAGTAGTATGGATAGAAGATAGACAGACAGACAGATAGTTAAATAGACAGACAGTAGATAGACAGACAACAGGTAGATAGATAGAGATGGATGATAGATAGATATGGATAGATTAGTATGGATATAGATAGATGATAGATAAGATAGATGATGGATGGATGATAGATAAGTAGTATGAATTGATAGATAAATAGTATGGATAGATATGATTACAGATAGATAGGGATGGATGATAGGTAGATTGATAGATATGGATAGATTAGTATGGTTAGATGTAGATAGATAAATAGATAATAGATTAGAAGATAGATGATAGAGAGTGGATGGATGGCTGATAGATTGATAGATATGGATAGATAAGTAGTATGGATAGATGTAGAGTGGATAGATGATAGATAGATATAGGGATGGATGGATGATTGATAGATATGGATAGATTAGTATGGATAGATGTAGATAGATAAATAGATAATAGATTAGAAGATAGATGATAGGGAGTGGATGGATGGATGTTAGATTGATAGATATGGAGAGATAAGTAGTATGGATAGATGTAGATAGATGATAGATAGATAGGGATGGATGATAGATAGATATGGATAGATTAGTATGGATATAGATAGATGATAGATAAGATAGATGATAGATGGATGGATGATAGATAAGTAGTATGAATTGATGATAGATAAATAGTATGGATAGATATGATTACAGATAGATAGGGATGGATGATAGGTAGATTGATAGATATGGATAGGTTAGTATGGTTAGATGCAGATAGATAAATAGATAATAGATTAGAAGATAGATGATAGGGAGTGGATGGATGGATGTTAGATTGATAGATATGGAGAGATAAGTAGTATGGATAGATGTAGATAGATGATAGATAGGGATGGATGATAGGTAGATTGATAAATATGGAGAGATAAGTAGTATGGATAAATAGATTAGATACATGATAGTGGATGGATGGATGATAAGATAGATTGATTGATAGATAATGGATAGATAAATAGATGATTAGTAGATTGATAGATATAGATGATAGATCAGACAGACAGACAGAACAGAATTGTCTCTTCTAGCCTTACAGTGAAGACATCGCCACCTGCTGGCCAGGAGCAGCTCTCCGGCCTCATTTCCCAAAAAAAACCCCAAAAGGAAAGTATTTGAGAAAAATGATTCGGGAGTCCCAGGAAGGGGAAAACAGATACGACATCTAAGCCCTCAAGGGAGAAGCAAAGGATTCCTGTCAGTCGCTCCTCTTGCAAATAGCAGCTCCGCTCAGGGACGGAGAGAAACCTGGGAAGAGAAGCATTTCGGAAGATTCGCTCCACCTTCATTAACTGGGAAAGAAACCAGGCTGGAAAATGCCTCTTGCGGTTTTCCAGCGTCTGATTTTTTAAGCCCACGACGAGCGTGAAAGATGGCTTGGTGGAAATCTTAGGTTTGTTGTTGGGACTTCGATTTCAACCAGCTGTGTTGGCTTCGGAGTTATTTTTAATTTTTATTTTTCGTAACAACTTTTGCGCCTAAACGATGAAGTGATTCAAATGCGGAGGCTTGGCATCTGGCTCATATTTATGACGGTCGCAGTGTCCCAGGCGATTCCCCCTTTTGCGAACTCCTGACGAGCAAAGTCGATGGCGGAAGCCCGGATTCACTTAACAACTGCAGCGCTTTCCTTAACAACGGTGGCGAGGAATATAAAATAGGGCAAATTTCATTTGACACCTGTCTTTGATTGTAGTCGTAAGTCAGGGACTAGCGGTATATAAATAACCTTGCAGATAAGTTAAAGACAAAACCAGAAGTTATTTAGGTATATCTCTGTCTCAGCAAAAGCGAACAAACTCCCTATAATTGGTTTTCAGCGGAAAAAGATTTCAAAAGAGATTTTAATAGGCTAATTATGCTAAATATGAGCCAGCAGTGTGTGGCGGCAGCCAAAAAAGCCAATGCAATCCTAAATTGCATTAAGAGAGGGGTTCAGTCACGATCAAGTGAGGTACTAATACCACTCCATAAAGCCTTAGTAAGGCTATACCTAGAGTACTGCATCCAGTTTTGGTCACCACACTATAAAACAGATGTTGAGACTCTGGAACCATGATGGCGAACCTATGGCATGCGTGCCACAGCTGGCACACAGAGCCATGTTGGTGGGCACGCAAGCTAAGCTCTGGCACGCATGCATGTGCTATCAGCTGATTTTCGGGTTTTCTGGACCCACCGGAAGTCAGGAAACACAGTTTCCGGCCTCTGGAGGGCCTTCGGGGTGGGTGGGTGAGAAAGGCTAATTTTTCGCTCTCCCCAGCCTCCAGAGCCTTTCTAGGAGCCTGGGGAGGGCAAAAACAGCCTTCCCCACCCCTCCGGAGGCCCTCCAGAGGCCAGAAATGGCCCATTTCCCAACTTCTAATCCCACCAGAAGTCTGGTGGCCCACCGTGCCATCGCATGCCAAAAGCGGGGGGAGCACGGGAGGGCATGCACACATGTGCATGGGGCAGGGCACATAGAATTATGGGTGTGGGCACGTACATGCATGACCCCCCCCCTCTCCCACTTTTGGCACTCGATGGCAAAAAGGTTAGCCATCACTGCTCTAGAAAGAGTGCAGAGAAGAGCAACCAGGATGATGAGGGGACTGGAGGCTAAAACATGCGATGAACGGTTGCAGGAACTGGGCCTGGCTAGTCTAGTGAAGAGAAGGACCAGGGGAGACAGGAGAGCATCTTCCAATATTTGAGGGGCTGCCCCAGAGAGGAGGAAGGGGGTCAGGCTATTCTCCAAAGCACCCAAAGGCCAGACAAGGAATAATGGATGGAAACTGACCAAGGAGAGATTCAACCTGGAAATAAGGAGAAATTTCCTGACGGTGAGAACAATCAACCCATGGAACAGAAGTTGCCTTCAGAAGTTGTGGGAGCTTCATCCCTGGAGGCTTACAAGAAGAGACTGGACTGCCATCTGTCAGAAATATTGTAGGGTCTCCTGCTTGGGCGGGGGGTTGGACTAGATGACCTCCAAGGTCCCTTCCAACTCTGTTAATCCGTTAAACTCTTAATGCACGGGGAATCACACGTTCAGGACAAAAAGAAATTAAGTTTGAGTTGGAACAAACAGTTTTCTTTCCAAAACGTACGACAGATTAAGATCTCAGGAGCCCTGCAAAGGAAGGGCAGTTCGATACAAGGGGAAAAAATATATTTTTAGAAAAAAAATCCAAAAGGAGCCAAGCCCCTCCTGAACAGACACAGCCAAATTTGGGCGTAAGCGAGCCTGTCCGGCTTTTTGGCCAAGGATCAAAGGGAAGAAGTGATGTCACTCTGTGGGTTTTTGACAGGGCCAGTGGATTTTATTGCAGCACAATGTATAAACTTTTTCAGCCAGGAAAAAAAAAAAGAGAGAGAGAAGGATCTGAA